AATACTTCGACTTATAATACAAATCAATTTTTGGATTAGTGGTTTATTAGTTTCAACATAGCTTAGGTATTAGTATTTTGATGAGTGGTGTAGTGGCGGAGTGGCACAGCTAGGGGACAAGTAAAATAAATACGAGGATAAATATTATATAATAAACATACATTTAAGTAACTCAAAAATTACTCGATYAAACTTCAATATATTTATTAGACACGTACTCAAAAGTTAAATATTATAATCTGCTTAACAATTTGCAGTAATAAAGGATAGTTATCATTTAGAAAAAATAATTTTATATTGCCGGACCTACTTTCAAATGAAATGGCATAAAAATGTAAGTAGGTGTTTGTAAACTTTGTCTGTAAATAAACAAGTAGTTTTTYGAGTAAATGCATTATTGTGGGATAGAAAGGACGTTAGAATTTTAGGAATGCATTGTGAATTACACTGTATATTATGCATTCGTGTGCGAACATCATATAATTAATATTATATGTATATTAGCCATTACGTATACTTACGTGGTATTAGTTCACGATAATTTTAGAATATTTCATGATTTTTTTTATTARTCTTTATTCTTTACTAAGGTATCTATCTACTTATTCTATCTGTTTCTAGATGTCCATTGAAGCCTTCTTCTCGACGACTATCTATATAAAAATGCGACGGTGAAATAATAGATACATCATAACAATATAGGTATAGCATAATATGTACGATCATAAAAAAGAACGATTTTATTAGTACAAAAATTGACCTCAAAGAAGTTTGTATTATTATTAAAAATAATATTTTTGTACAGAGTAAAATGAATGATACAATTCGACAGTAATAATAATTATCATTATATAATAACTATCATATACGATGTTATTTCAATAAAAAATAATAACTAAACACGTAAGGATACAAATTGAAAAAATATTTTGTTTTGATCATATGAAATACACAGTTATACATTAGCACTACGCATGATGTCTGAGACTTAAATAATTACAAAAAAAAAAGACAAAAACACTGTACAACAATACATTTTAATATAAAGACCATAAAATAATTATAGTCTATATTTTAAAAATATGTTTTTTTCAATGAACACAAATTATTTGATTACACAATAATATCAATAACAATATACAACATTATAAATCCATATTAAGTTCTGTAACGCTCTGTCATATTATATATCCTACTTCCCCCCCAGAAAATTACAAATGTAAATGAACACGATACACGTTATATTATAAACGTACGTATATTTAAAAAAAATTATTTTGGAATGCTTTGCTGTCTTTGGGCTTTTAAAAAAATGTCACGAAAAACTAGAGATACAGTTTTGAGTTCAGCAGTTATAAATATAATATAACGCATTGTATGGAATGTAAATCGATTTTATCATTCCCTTTACACATAGGTTTGATTGCGGCCGAATGAGTACATAATATAATCAAAGCACAACCTTCCTCTAATATATATATATATTATATTAAAAAAACAACTACCTAATGTCGTAATGATATGATTAGAGTTTAAAAAATATATATAGTAAAAATCGAGAAAAAAATTACAGACTTTCACATGATAATAATATTATTATAAATCAAACACTAAAATAATATATATATATATATATTTTTTTAAATATTTGCTCTTTAAGTTTATATAATCATCGTTTTCCTCGACATGTTTAAAAGGAACAATAATACGAAATAATAGTCTTAAAAATTATTCAATTTTTTATATATACATACAAATATAGAAGTGAAAAAAAAACAATGTCCTTACGTATATAAAACGAAAAAACTTAATAAATTAAATATTTGTTCGTATAGAACACGCGATTAGAAAATATAGTCAATTATAAACATCCGTTTAGTGTTAAGAGCTCGTCCAATGAAATATCTCTGCTGTACACATATTATAAAATTATATTATACATATACTATCAATATTTTTATGGCACAAACATTTTCATGCGGTTTTCTTATATATGCAATATGTGTATTGTATTATATAATAAGATATATACATCTTTCTGGTCCGTGTATCAATTACCATTTTAATTTTAGATTAAATATCATATGATATACATATAGGCATGCGTAAGACCGTGATGTTAATCAATACAATACAATATGACGTATTATATACGAGTATATACCTACAAGTAATAATGATTTATAATATATGTTATAATAATAAAATAAATAAATTATTACATTATTTTTATACACTGTACAAAATATGAGACGTTTATAACCAAAAATATTCGTAGATTTAAAACATGGTAGTGCAATAAAATTTCATATAAAAAAAACGCAAGATTTTTTATTTTTAAATTATAAAAGAAAAACACAACGTAAACGAATATAAACAATTTTTTTTATCACAAAGACACCGYGAAATAACAATATTCATGGTATAGTTTACATTACCGTCAGCAATTTGGTAATGCGCGTTATACATAAATGTATTATAATTTTAATTTTTAACAAAAATTACGTAAAAATTGCACTAACCGATTACATTTTTTTTTCATTCTTTTTGATTTCCATTCTCAATCGAAATCGTTACCAAAACAAAACAAACTCACACCACGTATTCTATTATGTAGTACCTAATATAATATAATATACTTTTCTTAGTCGGCAGCAATAGAGCTCTCTATTCCACCATAATATTACATGTATTTACACACGCGAATAGTCGCATAAGACGTTTACACGAAATACTTATTCGATTTGTTCCCGAATTGATATTATTATTTTTATAACGCACTAATCGTTAAAATATTATTATGCTGCATACCAACGGTTTTACCTCAGACGACCGCGTCGGCGTTGTCATCGTCGTCGTTTTCCGTTTCGGTCGCTTGTTGGGGCGAAGCGGTAGACGCCCGATCAGCGTTTGTTTCGTGTTCGGAATCGTCGTGCTGCTGATGACGATGTTCCTGTCCTTCCGGTGACTGGGGTTGCGGCTTCTCGTCATCGCTGTCCGCGGCTGAGTCCTGGCATGACGGCGGCGTGGCCGCCAGGTCCTCCATGTGGTGGTCACCATCGTTTTCGGCTCCGGATACTGGTGGTGAACCGTTCTGACTGCAGTCGTCGTCACCACCGCTGCCTTCTCCACCGCCTCCCTTCGCGGTGCTCTTGGCCGCTGCTTGGGCAGCGGCCATGGCGGCTGCCGATTTTAGCCCCGTCTCCAAGCTTGACCTGATGATGCCGTCTAAGAAGCTGCCATTATCCGTGCCGTCGTATAAGTTTTCGGCCACCTCGCGAGCGTTCTTGCCAAGGCTGGCGATGGATGCGGCAGCAGAGGCCTGGTGGTGGTGTAGCCGTGACTCAGCCTGGATCCGTTGCATCATCGACATTGGCCCGTACGCCGGATTCCGCTGAAAATCCATGGGCACGTGGAACGGGCTGGGTGCCCAGAACGGGAACGACGCCTGATACGGGCCCACCGGACCCGCGGCGTCGAACATCTTGAGCCCGTTGGGCGTCTGGAGCGGTGAAAGTTGTTGCTGCGTCGGGAACTGGACGTGCGCGGGAAGTTTGATAGCCGGTGGCGTGGCCGACGACGAGGACGACGAGGTGGTAGTCATCTTGTCGGCTGGCCGAACGACAGACGACGAGGACGACAGGTCGGACGACGACTTTTTCCTGTCCGAGTGATGATCTGCGACAACCGCTGCGGACACGGAGGACGAAGACGGAGGGTTCTTGGGCTCACGTTTTCTGGGTCGCATCAGATGTCTCTCTTTGACCTTGTACTCGAGCGTCGAGTGTGGCACGCCGTAATAAGAACCAGCCCGATGCACGCTCATCTCGCCCCGTTGCACCGCTCGTACGGCTTCCACTAGGCTGTCTCGGTCGTAGTTTCGGTACTTGCCCCGCTTGGGCCTGGTGCCCTTACCTCCGGCCGCCGCCGCAGCCGCGGCAGCTGCAGCTGCTGCGGCAGCCGACGCCGAGTTGGATGAAGACGACGACGAACCGCCAGCATGGAACCCAGCGCCGGCGGACGATGGTGTTACGACCGACGATGTTTTGTTGGTAGGCGTCGGCACCCGTTTTCGGCAATCGTCCTGCTGCAAATTATTGTTGTTGTGATTCCTGATGACGGGGTTACCGGTACCGAACGAGGTGGGATGCTGCTGCTGTTGCTGCTGCTGCAGATGGTGATGGTGGTGCTGCTGTTGTTGATTATGGTGTTGTTGCTGCTGGTACTGTTGGTAGGCTCGGGCAAACGACTCTACGGCTGGTATGGGCGGTGCGAGCGGTGGATCGGACTGGAACCTCTGTGTGATGCTTTTGGCGATCACGTCTCTCAGGTTGACCGGATGTTTGCCACCACCRCCGGATGACGACGGCGGTGACGACGTGTCACTTCGAACGCTGTTGGCCCGCCCCGGTGACCGGATGTCCCTGGTGCACTGCATCAACTCGTAATCGCTACTCTTGCCACCCGGGACTGGCTTGTACGATGGTATTCTCAGGATGACGTTGGACGGGTTCGAGTCATCGTCGTTGCTGCGGCCCGTGTCCATTGGTTCAGACGAACTGCAGCCGTTTGATGACCACCGTCTCGGGTCTACCAACTTGTTGTTGTATTGATGCTGTAAGTGCTGCAACTGCTGCTGTTGCTCTTCGTCCAGTATTTTGCGCATCAAGTCCTTGACGGTGAAATCTTTGAGGTATTCATGCTGGTGGTGGGCCGTGGACATATGTTGCAGCGGCGGGGGTGGTGGCGGCGGTGGCGGTGAACTATCGTGTGATGGTAATAAGTGTGGCGACCCTAGTCCAGTCGAAGGCGACGTGGCCGCCACCGACGAAGACAACAACTGCGATAGATAGGTTCCCATGTGTTGCGGGTCCAAGGCTGCAGCTGCGGCCGCAGCGGCTGCAGCCGCCGGCCATAGGTCCGCTGTCATGGGCAGTGGAAACCTGGCGGCGGCGGCGGCAGCAGCGGTGGCAGATGGTGGCGATGGTGATCGACCGTCCGCTATAGATACGTCACGACCACGGTAATGCGGTTCCGGCCTGTTTTGCAGTAGCTTGTTGTTGGCATAGTGTTGCAGGAACAGTCGGAGCGTCTCGGCGTTGGGCATGGCCACAGCCGCTTGCTGCTGCTGTTCGGCCGTGATCCGCAACAAGTCTTCGACGGTCATGTACGGCGACGCTGTCCTGTGCTGCTGGCTGCGATGTTGCGGCGGTTGTTGATGATGCGGCTGTGGCACGTGCTGGCGGTCCTTGTTGTCCGCTGTCGCCACTGCTGTTCTGGTTGTGCACTCATCCTCGCCCACCGACGCCGTGTCCCTGTCCTCGTCATCGTCATCCTCGGTCAGCAACGGCAACAGCTCGGCGGCCTGTCCATTGGACGGGTCGTCTCCGGCCGTCGACGGATCCCTGATGACGCCCACTCCTACGCCGCCGCCACCACTGCTGTCCCGTTCGTGGGCCATTTTGTATACCTTGTTCCGTAAAGTTGACCTGGGTATGCCGTATATGACGGCCGCACGTCTCGTGCCCAACTTACCGCTCTGTATGTCTCGAAGCGCCTTTTGCAGCTCGTCTTCCGTGTAAGTCTTCCGGCCGGCCATGTGACTAGGCTGTTTCGTCGGCTTCGATCTGTAAAATGAAAGCGTATAAGGTTTTAGCTGCATCAGATAAGGTCTCAGCACTGCGACACAGCACACTTACAAACGACCATTGAAACACGAGCGTTGTATTATATGTTGGGTGTAGACCTACTGTATGCAATTATATATATTTATAAAGCGTAAAGTTGGACTTTGTCGAGCTTAGAAGAAATCCGTCTAAAGTATTGAGCGCGTGTACCATGAAATCGTTACAAAATCATAATTATATTGACCTATTCTACGTAGTGTGGTTTTTAAACGAGTGTCCAATACTCGCTTATGTACCACGAATGGTTCGCATAACAATCTTCTGACCATCATCGCTCGTCACGTCGGTCRCGATCGTACACGAAAATAATCTACACAGGCACTGTTTGACTCATCATCGACAGTCGTTTTTATGTCACCGATTTAAATAATACTGTGCAAACGTTTRGTTTAATGACGATAATACAAGCACTTTATTAGTATTATGCATTTATGTATAGTATAATGCAACACATGAGCAGTTAAMGTAACCCGCGTCTATAATAGAACCAGAAATTATTAGACRTTGATGAAATGATGGCTATAAAAACTTTATTTCGTGTTCATATTACCTATATATAATAACTTAGGTATACGACGTGCGTACCTGTGTAGTGTGTACTCGTTAACCCTCCACAATATTATATTATCACACGACACACACCGTTAACGGATGAGACGATCATAGCGTTTGTGTGTATTTATATATAGATAAAATAGTACCCATGGAAAATAATCGAACACATTCTGAAAAAAATCGTGTATGATATTTAAATATAAATTGTCCTTAGTTATAAGCCAAAATTAGTTTTCTTGGTTTACCGAACATTATATATTCCGTACAATCATAATTTTATAGCACCGAAAACAGWGGTAATATAATTTTCCTATATGTTCTGATTTAACTGCAAAGAATTACATAGTTATATAGGCTAACCAATGTACATATATATTTTAAAATGCATTTCATCAGCGAACTCTGCAGACATCTGTATGCCACACACGACTAAGTGGTGTACTATACCTATATGTGTACATATCAAACTCACGCTCTCTGGCACTCGTAAAACCAAAACAAGTACTTATTACGGKCATAAATTACTTTTAAGGCATATGCATTTACATGTACACCACCACCTACATTAAGCTACTGCAACGTGTGGCCACGTGCAGTTTAGCAACAACAACGACGACAATAATTGCAATATGTGGCCACACGATAATTATTGCCAGCCGGAATGAATTAAGTTTTTTCAATAGTATACGTAACAAAAAATCGTCAATGCAAATCGCGATAACGAAACACACGCGTATCGTTGAAAATCGATCGAACAGAAAACCAGCAGTTGACAAATGCGCGGTTTCAATACAGCTACAGAAATGTACTTTTTAAAGGGTTATTCGTGTTTTGTGATATTTTGACAGCAAAATCAATTAATGTCAGTATCACATTTTCAAATAGAAATTGTTTACCTTCAAATCTAAGAATATGGGCTTAGGAGAGTTTAATTCAAAATATTTGAAGAAATCATATTATATTGAAAAAACATTGCATGTTTGCAAGTATTTTTTTTAATTTCAAATGGATATATATATATATATATGCAAAGAACTTTTAATATATTTTAGTTTTAAATTTCAAACCGCTTTTTCTCAAAACTTTATATTTTTAGTTGTCTCAACAGTCTCATTTTAAAGGTGCGAATTATAATAATATTATATAATATAATAAAATAACCATATACAGGGTGTCCCGCGAAGATTTACCCATTGTGATATCTTACTAAATAATGGTGATTTCAAAATGCCGGTTTTATAATAAAATTCACAGGGTATAGTTCTTATAACTATAATTATTTCTTTTTTAAATTTTTTTTAATGCTTTGTAAGAAATGTAAAAAATACATTTTTTTATTTAATTAGTTCCAAAAAAATTAAAGATAGCCATTTTGTAGAGTTTATTTTTCTGAAAATATTGACATTTCAAAATTTTATTTTCATTAATTTCCTGATTTGTCATATTTTTTCTAGTTTTGAAGAAATAAAATTTGATTATAACTATAAGGAACATGGAAAGTATTCGGCCGACCGTATGGGAATGTGCGCRVCGCGGCGGGTTATATGTTTGATAACATTATGGTGTTAAATAAYTCGCAATTTTTCTCGAAACTAAAAAAAAAATTAAAAATCAGGAAATCAATGRAAATAAAATTTTGAAACGTCAATATTTTCAGAAAAATAAACACAATAATTAAATAAAAAATATATATTTTTTTAACTTTTTTACTAAAACATAAAAATAAATTAATGTATGAAATAATTGTAGTTCTTATTCCTGTGAGAGTGTTATTAAAAAACCAGAATTTCGATATCACCATCATTATTTCAGGAGATATCGCAATGGGTAAATCTTCACGGGACACCCTGCAGTATACGACGATAAAATATATTTAACTAAATTTAAAGTTCGAACGGCCACTCACTTTAACAAGTTCCGGTTGTTGGTGGTGAGTATGGGCACATTGAGCGGTTGGTGCGGTAGGAACGTGGACGCGCCCGGTAACAGGTCACGCAGCTGGTTAACCATGTCTGTGGTGATGAGATCTGACGTGAACGGGTTGACGGCGACGGCGGCAGCGACGGTGGCCGGCACGTTTCTCAGCTCGGACGACGACGGCGTAGACGGCAAGCTCGGACACGACGGTGTGGACGAAGCTGGCGACGACGAAGCGTTGCCACCCGGACCGCTGACGTTGTTGTGGTTGTTGTTGTTGCTGTTATTATTGTTGTTGTTGTTGTTATTGCTCTTGGCGCTGAGATCGAGTGGTTGATCAAGCGACTGGTGTTGTTGTTGCTGTTGATTGTGATGATGGGCGGGTGGTGACCTGCAGCTGGTGGCCGCCGAGGTCGCAGCTGCGGCTGCGGCTGCTGCTGCAGCGGCCGTTGTTTCTTGCAGCCTCAGAGTGGCGGCGGCCAATAGCCATTTCGGCAGGCCGGCGGCCGCGGCTTCCAGCGCTCTGGGTGACGGTGGTCCACCCGCTGGTGTCATCGTCGTCGTGGACGATGACGACGACGAGTTGTTCAGAGACGCGACCGCAGCCATTGCGGCGGCGGCTGCGGCCGTGGGGTTTGGCAGCAACAGCAGTGGCGGTGGTGGCGGCGACCGGTCATCGGCGCGACACGGCTCTGATGTAGCCGGGGGCGGCGTAGAAGACGACCGCCTGCCCGGTTCCGGTTCCGGACTCTCTGCGCTGCGACTGCCGCCGCTCAAACTTCCCGTTTCAGACGATGGCTCCTGCGAACACAGCACATGATTTTTTAATATTTTCGTATATATTACATGATAAAACTTAGCCTAACTTTATCCTAACCGCGTAAACACTTCTTGTAGTCGTTTAACGTTCTATCCTTATTATCGAACAGTTCCGGAGCTTACCTATAATAAACATCAATATTTGCATAGGCAATCATTTTTTTAAGAGTTATGTCATGATAACGGTGTCGAAGTATAGATATTAAATAAATAATAATCAAAGAATAGTTTAAAAGACACAGACGGTCATCTATATAAATGACTATTATCGATATGCGTATAGGTACATTACGTTAAGTAAACAGAGCTAGTCAAGAAATAAAGATATTCATTAATTAATAAAGTATAAGAAACTAAGCCGGAAATAAGTTTTAGTACGTGTCACTTTTGCAAATGATGATATTCGAGAGGTATATTCAAACTGCTTGTTTCGGGGCATCGAGGGGCTTCGAATGTTGGTAGATTGAACTGTGCAGGCACAGAATAAGAAGAAAACAAATTAATGTAATAACAATTCTAACGCCAAGATAGTCATTATGGCATAACGATTATGTAAACAATAAATTAAAAAATACAATATTTGTTCATCGTTGAAAATCTGGGAGCCATCTGTAAATGTGTTTTGTAGAAACCTCGACAAAGAAATCAATAAGGGATGAAATAATTTGAATACCTATCTTTTAGAAGATGTGAAGAACATATAATAGTATATACTTTGAAATATTAAAATTTTCTTGTTCGAAAGATCAAGATAATGTTTTAGAAAAATAAAATTACAACAGTATAGATTGCAATATAAACCATTATATAAATACAACCGTTAATTGCAACGTATTTGCATAAACAGTTTACCGCTTGTATCGGTGCGACAGATTTTCAACATCGACCGTACCGAAGAGGTGAGAAATGCATTACCGGCCCTTAGCCCCCACGGCGATTTACAGAAATGTTTCTATGAACAGGATATTATTTTACCACTACAAGTTTAAAATTCCTAACATAAATACACTACTGGAAGGTTGAGAAGGTTTAAATGCTCCAGTAAACGATACCTCTCCTGAGGGCAACAAAATGCCTGGGACACATCGCACTGCAGATATTTTAAAAAAATTAGACAGTTTTTGCTGTAGACCTTCGTCGCATACGATAAGAATCTAAAATGAATCTGGTGAAACGACCTACCGATTAGTTTTTATCACAATAAAGCGAATCGATCATAATATAATATTATTTTATAAACGACTCTATACGCCACGCGGTACATACGTGCAACAATAACGATAATAATAATAATAATAATAATATACTATTAAAGGGAATGCCAAATCAGGCGATCGGAAGTACCTATAATACCTATACGCACCACATCTCATGATAATAATATCATATTGTTTCAGGGATAAATAATTTATATATTATTGCCACGCACAGTCGAAACTTTTCTAACGAGTCACGATTCTCAGCCACATTATAATACAAAATCGGTCAAAAGTTAAGAGTTTAATATTTGCTGCATAACAAATTGCGAAAGGTGTCGGCCAACTGCAAAGAGACCCTGCTGCATCCGCTCATGTAGCTGCAGTTAGTGCGACACTTTTCTGTGTCGATAATAATATTAATATGCGCAAAAAAAGAGCTTCTACTTGACTTTACTGTGAATAAATATCAATAATTTAACCGATAAAACGATATTATATATACTTAATGCAGATAATATAACAATCTAATAAATTTAAATATACTATATAAAACGATATTTTTAACACCATAGATATAGGTTAGGTATACATTTTTCGTTAAAATAATCATTCCTGCAGTATACTTGAAACCTAATAAAGTATAGTATAATAATTGTATTTGTATGTGCTCTCCAAAATTAATTATTTAACAATAATTGTATTATAAATCAATTTATATTCTTGAAATACTAAAATGAATGTAACATGATATAGAAATAAATCACAACGATAAAAAAATTCTCGAAATGTCAAATCGTTTTTTTTTTTTCTTTGATAGATACACCGGCATAATTGCGTGAATCATCAAATTATTATATTTAAAAAAAAAACTGTATTTTGCTAAATATTCTTTGATTTATATTGATTTATATTTTATAGATTTAGAAGTAGTGGCGTACTTTTGTGAAACGTTTTATGAAATATGAATTATTTATGTTTATATTGTTTGGTAAAAAATTTATAAGAAAAATTTAAATACATTGGTAGTTAAACAAAATAATAGCTTTATCTACTGGCTTAAAAAAAGAAATATTATTTCTAAATGAAATATATTTTCAGTAAGAATATTAAGTTGATATATTTAATAATACCTATACTTATTTTGCGGTAAATATATGTCTACCTAATCATATAAATATACCTGGCCGATTAATGTTGAAGTATGTTATTTGTATAAAAAACTTTTAACTATTAACTATATTCATATACTTAGGTACAATATATTTATTACTCAAATTTTAAGCAAAACCTGCAGTACAATAAACACGCAAATATAATGTAATTCATTTAATAATTAAGAAGGTAAAATTATACAGGTTTAAACTATAACTTATAAGTACACACCCTAAGTCTCAACTCTCTWTAATATATTAATAAATTATAATGTTTTCCTAGGTAATTACAATTTCCGTAATTTTATCTACAAAATATTATGTTCTAGTTACTTTCGCTTTTAACACATTATATTATGTTTAAAAGTATTGGTACACTTAACACAGTATCGAATTTAATATTATGGTATATTTATAGTGTATATACCTACATTTAAATTAATTAATAAACAATCAAAAAATTGTTGATAATTTAACCAGATCGTATTTTCTTAGATTGTTTACAGACTACAGTTTGGTATATATATATAGGTAAGTTACGTCCCCGTGATTTTCGATCATGCAAATAATTTTATTGATTGAATACTTTACATTTTATATTAATATATTATCTATATGTTGATACATCGTCATCATATATACATGTGATATGTGAATTACGTTAGGTATATACTGATATCTATATAAATACCGAAACGGAATATATATACTATGAATAACATTAGTACATTACACTTATATAGAACTATACCTACATTAAATGTATCAAATGCATATAGGATTATATTCGACGTAGTAATTTAAACTTTTCTGAAGTGCAGTTCTATATAAACATGTATTGTTAAAACTGTAAATCACATATCCAAAACACTACACTGAATAGATAATATTTAAATATATACAAAAAAAAAAATCAATGATCGCTAATAAATTATAAACTGATGTCAGACACTTTAGATTACATGGATTGACAATATTTATTATAATTTAATTGGGTAGAGTATTGGCATATTATATTATAGACAGTCTAGCCTACGGTGTGTTGTATAAATTATTTAGTTTTGAGGTAATAACATTATTACTACTGATAATAATGCTCTAAAAATGGAAATGCTGATGCGTACTTACATAATATTGTGCATAGTTATATTTATATATTTATATACTTATATATTCTATACTTTACAATAACTAATTTTAGTTTTTTAGTTTGTATAATATGTTTCTGTAATGATTTTGAGTAAATCATATAATAATAATTATTATTATTATACTCTACACACACATCACACAGTGTGTTACATCCACGATCCACAACGTATAGGTCCATAATAATATATTATGATATAGTCGTACAATAAATTATAGTTGTGTCTTGTATTTGTATTGTTTACAATATTACTACAACGTGAAATTCAAACTCACGTTGTTTCATTTTAGATTAATACAAATCGAACGAGCGAGTGCGTGATTTTCTTTTAACACGATATCCGATTGTCGGTATACACGTTAGGTATAATATTATAAATTATATTAAACAATTTATGCGAATAAAAAAAAAAAAAAAACGAATAAAAAGACCGCGAAACGTTTTCTTTTGTTACACATTATTCCGGTATTTTACGATTTATGAATAAAAAAAACGACCATGAATAATAATAATTTCTAGGGAGCACCTAACCTCCTGCAAGAGGTTAAAAGCAAATGAATAAAATGGTATATGTATGACGACCACGCGAAATGTAGGTCATTTAGAAACGATGACAAGTGGACTCTATCGTATATGACATATGTATATAATAATTATATATATGCGCGAGCTGCAGCCGTTTAAAAGGTAAACGTCCTACTGAAAAACTTCGCGAGCTCCCGCACGTTGCAGTTATACAACAACAATAGTAATATATTATATATACGTATATCACAAGCAGCATAGTACACATTGTTCTTAATTACAACGACGAATGCAAAATTAGGTATACTATTTATAATTGCCGTATATAGGTACTTATAGTTTGAACTACGCACTGATGTACACAATTGTATTCATACGATATATTTTGTTACATAATAAATTACAATATATTTTACGCCATATCGGTATATTATATTCGCAATATGTCACTTTCTGGGGATATAAAATTGTGTAAATAGAAATAAAAACAAAAAAATCGAGTAAGTCGTATATGTCGCTTTGCTGTACAGTACAGTTACAAGTGGGCTACTGTAATGGGTGGAATTAAATTTGAATCAAATGATATTATATCATTTTGTACACGAAAAACGATTCTGAGCGGAGACGGTTTATCTGTCTAGGATATATTATAGATTATTAAAAATGTTCAAATATTAGATTTAAAAAGAACAATTTTTATGAATTTAAAATAATTTGCGATTTTTCGTGATTTTTACGTATGTTGTCAAAATTCAAACTTTGAATGCTTGTAAAAAAACAATAAGAAAATTATAATTATTATGTCAATCGCCGACATCTATCCTGTAAATATTTACAAGTGTCAGCCACTTGCTATACTTCAGGGGTCACCAACTGGCGGACCGCGGTCCGGATACGGACCTCGAGCACTTTTTTTATGGACCGCGAGCTCGTTTTCATTTTACATTGATTAAGTTCATACGCGCCAAACCGGCGAGGGAAACGCGCCGTCGTCGGAGTGACGCGTATGAATTTGACCAATTTTTCACATTAAAAATGAAATATTTCAAACATAATCTTTTTTTTTGTAAATTCAATTTAAATAAATAAATAAATATAAATACAAATTTTAAAATGTATATACCTATTTATTAATGTGTGTAAAATACAATGTGAATAGATAAATAAATATAATCACAAATTTATAAATTATGTCATTGAAACTGTTTGGACCGCGTAAAATTTGGTAAGTTTCAAAACGGACCCCCATAGAAATTAGTTGGTGACCCCTGCTATACTTCAATAAAAATTTAAAATAGCCAATAGAAATATATATGGTCTATGATGGTTCTTGAGATATATAGGTCAACAATAATACAAAGGTACCTTCGTTTTTACATGACTGGATTAAAACCAAATTCAAAAATATTTCTATGAAACTCAAAACATTATATAGTAGGGAACAAAATAAAAAATGGACGCTTATCTATTATAATGGCATTATGCCACTAACAATAAAGCAAAKAATTTTCAATTTTTTCTCGAATCGTACTTATCTCAAATTCCAAAATTAAGTTATATTAAAGGTTTATAATATATTAATTGCATAATTTACCAGTTCTGAAGGTGAGTGATCCGCTACGCTCAGGTCTGTGCTCACATCACACGAATTACACGTTTTGACGGGAACCCATTCTCTCCGGTCCATCAATTCCTCTTCCAGTAAATAATTTTTCGCCAAAATGTCTTGATATTGGTGCCATTTTCTTCTTCCCATTAACTCTTCAGCGATCCTTTCCAACCCTGTWAACAGAACAAACGGAGACGTTATTACTCATAACAGCTACCGTAATAAATGTATCGATACATTATTATTACATATTATAATAAGTGACGATGACGGTTCGCGTATCGCGTGCAACGAAAAACATATTGCACTAATAAATATGTGCATATAATACCTATATAGGCTCGAAAGTGAGTAACTACAATTTTCAGAAATAAAATCAGAGCGCATAATACGAAATTGTAATACTGCACTTTTATATACGACCTATTTAAGATTTGGACACCAGATATGTATATTGTGTACCTATACACTGTAACATCACACATTYACACACGCATACACTAGCTGCAGCGCGTTATAATATTATGTTTTATATATTGTAATATGACAATATGTACATGCAGTGTACAATTTCAGGTTTGTTTTCGACTGATTTGGTCCATACGAATTTTATATATTCATCATAGTTAAAAAAAAAAATATTACAACAACATAAATCCGGTTTCATATCATATAAAAATGATAATCGTAGGTATACGACTAAAAGAAATAGTTTTATCGACAATAATAATAATAATTATTATTAGTTATAAAATGCAAATAAGATTGAAATTATTAATTATTAATTTTTGAAAAACTTGAAGGTCTAATAAATTGTATTACAATATTTACCACAAATTAACATTACATTATTATAAACGCAATAACAAAATAACCGTTATGCGATATTGCAATTTTTTTCTAGGTACTGATACTTATATTATTATGATTCTGTTTGGTCGCTCTAATCCAATATACCTAACTATGCTTATCCTATTGCTAAATACACCAGCTTATCGACCATATTTCAACGTCTATGCCTGCAAAGACGTTGAATGGATTATAATTTTTTTTTAGTATTAGCTATAGGTATATTATATATTATTATCTGATTAAATGTAAATATCTCACTATATTACATTACAAACATAATATAGAAGAAAATCCAACAATATAGTGCAGTTATAATAATATGCTATCTGTATATACTATCTAATGTATCTAGTAACTGTAGGTACGTAGGTATATGTAATATGCATATACCTGAATACACGATTACAGAACATAATATGATAATGATTTAAATTTGTAGTTTTATCGCACACCAGATTATTAAATTGTATAAATTTCAGCGTTGCARATTATTCCGATGAACGAAATACTGAAAGGATATGTTTTGTTATCTTAAAAAAGAAGTATTTGTTAAATTTCCACACGAGATTAAACGCATTCCATCATAATATACATAATTTGAGTTAATTATTTTTAATTTAATTTCCTATCTTTATAGTGTACCTACGTGTATATGTGTGCGTGAGAGAAAGAGAGATAGATTGAGCGAGAGACAGAGAAAGAGATGCTGCTGTCTAAATCGTCAAAATTTGCATAATATTTAAACAAGTAAACAGGAAATATTATACGCGGCGTATGTTGTTGCGTTACCATAATACTTACAGGAAAATAAACTGCTATAGCTATAAGTTAGTTATATGCATAAGCCTTCAAAACAAATGTCAGACTGTAGCACTAAATGTTTATTTAAGCACATCGCCAGGGACTGCAGTACATATGCATCGTACCCAATTATTGTATTATACTTACAAGAAATAAGAATATATAACTACATTCTAGAATTCTCAATCATTCAGACAATATATTTTTTTTGTGCTGTATAGAAGTTTTTTATTGAGTATATTATACTTCATATAGTCGATGTGCTATGCGTGTGGACGACGCGTAAAATAAATTGGAGTATAAGCGAACATTGAAATAATAGAATTACATATRTTACGCTATAAATAAATCCGATATTWATATGAATATTTATAAGGTGAAAGTTGGCAATGTTCTAGTGCGATCAATTTTCCAAGTATAACCTTCGTTAGACACTAATACTGCGCCTTATATACCTACATTTAACCAGATTGTTCATTCCGATACTGCAATGCGAGTGTTAAATTAACACAATTTCGGTTTAGACTGTTATATACACTTTCATATAAGTATAGGTATAACTTATAGATACTAAATTTAAAGGTAGGTAGGTATATACAACGCGGTAAATAATATATAGGTACAATTCAATCGGACCCGACTACATAATAATAACATAATACTAATAATTCGTTATTTTTTACTGTGTTAATTTATATTAGAATCACAACCCAAGGGTATAAAATAAATTAAACATTTTAATGTAATTTAGAATTTATTATTGTTTAATAAAAAAGTAGTGAGGAAAATAATTTGTCATACGGCGGGTTCGGCTATATGGTTGTAATATGTGATAAAATTGGTCGAGCCAAACACGTTTATATACTCATGTGTGTTCAATTTAAAGTTGAGACAAATTTTGTTGTTGAGACAAAAAAAAATATTTGTTCGTAATACCCATGCAGATAAATCCATTTATTTAATTCTATCCAATTAGTTATAGATTGTAGGTACCTGTTATATTATATATATTTATCTTGCGAACTATAAAACAATTGCTGATGTTTGGACTTTAGAATCTAAAGTATTTAGATATTATATAAGCATATATAATTGTATACATAATAACCTACCTATATTATATATAAAACTTGATGATAGATATAATAATAAAACTAAATATAAAAATCTCTCTGGATTATTTAATCGTGGATAAAAAACATTATATTTTTTGTTAAAATTTTTTTAACAAATTATCCTGTTTAAACACTGATACGTTTTCATTCCAGAAAGGGTGAGAACCTTGGAGTTCATGTATGGATTTAATTTTGTCAGTGGCAGCTAATGAAATAAAAATATTATAGACGGTATAAATTATAATATAATACTATTATATATAGGTAGAGTTTACTATATGTACCTATATGTATTATCTCATTTTACCTATACTTATACATATATTGAAATTTGAAGTTTTAAACGTACACACAAATAACATTTTTTATAATAATAGATAACGTATTTATGAGAGTTTGTAATTTAAATCAAAATCAAGATAATATGAACTTTGCATCAAATTGATTAAATTGAGCATAATATTATATATTATAAGTCGATAATATTGTACCTTAAAGAAGTTCGGTGTAATTATGGATAAGTGAAATAAGTAATACACGTTCAGGAACTGAAATTGAATAATATGTATTTTAATTATTAGGATAAATATTATTAGTTTTTCATCACATATCAATTCTCAATATATAAGTACCTATATATAATAGTACTTTATATTACCGTAACGGATACTGTGTATAGTGTGTACGTATTATACACAAATAATACTAAAATTTAAGTTTTGCACAAATTACAAACGCATTTAAAAAATGTTGGGGTAAATTACACGTGTAGCATATAATTTGAGTTAATTTAGGTGCAAATCGACTACAGTCGTATATATCTATGTACGACAATAATAGGTAGCTATATCGGTTGAAATATATTTTATATGGACATGCATGTTTTGCACTGGATGTGACGACGAATTTTCAAAGTTTATTTATGTATATATATTGTGTATATATGTATGTCTTTACCTTATTTATATAGACCAATACATAATGTATAAAATATATACCACCTTTATGTTGTACATACGCCTATCTATTCGCGTGGTTCGTCTGCGGGCGGATCGTATCTTCGTCGTTTCGATATAATATATAAATACGATATAATAATAATGTAATATTAATTATTATATTATATTTAACTAGGGTAAGAGGGAAACCACACGATAATAGGCGTGTCGCGTGATCGTCGAATGTCGGTCAATTTCCTACCCTAACCACCATCTTCGCCACGATGGCCGTATGTACCTGTCATATATGTATAAATGAGTGTATTTACTCTAGGGATATATATATTTATTATTAGGTATATACGTGTACCATATCGTACGGCCATCAAATTCATGCGTGTACGGGAGGTAGACAGGTATAAATGTAAAAAAAAAAAAAAATGAAAAATAGAAAGGAATTGATGACATTCCGTTTATGTTTAATGATATTCAATTAAAAAACTCTGCGGCGACGGCGTCGGCGCGAGCGATACGTGCACAGGCAGAGATACGCGAGGCCTATATAACATAATATATCTTTATTACTATTTCTATTATTATTATGTGTACATGAAAACCGGGACCATGACGACGACCATTTTGAAAATGAGGCGGTGCGTTTGTCGCTTAACGCAGACCGGTTCGCCATCGATTGGTCAAATCCAATTCAAGCCTATATACGCGCATATTATATATATATATATATATATATTGGTACTTATGTTTACCTGTTTCGGCCGAGGCGGTGTTTCAAATATATAAAAATGTGCGTGTGTGCCTATATTTGTGCAGGTTACCCGAGGTACCTATGTTTTATTATATACATATAGGTAAATAATGTATGTATATACAGGTATCAGACATTGCGAATATATACAGACTTCGATGACTCCAAATAGAATCGCGAACTGAACGGCGATGGAAGAAGGTATTATTGCGTACTARGACATTTATATAATACTATACCTATATACCTTTACACAAACAAAGTAAATATGAGGTTACTGCAGTATGGCGTAGGTATAAAATAATATACTGCGACAAGCTGCGACTACAATAATATAAGTTTACATATTTTATACAGTTGCAGTAGCGTCCGAGGAATCCGCAACCGGAGCCACATCGCGTGAGAAAATGGGGAAAAATATATAATATTATTATGTGCGACGGTCGTTCGCGATGCATTATTATATGCATATAGGGAAAAAACTGGTTTTTTTACGCAGTGTTCAATATTGACAGCCAAGGATTAATGTAAAAGCCAAACGCCGAACACAATCGCTGTTCGTTTAAAAACGCCTAAAACGAACATGGAAAACTCGTATAGATATACTTAAAATATGTTATGCGCGCGCCTAGGTAACCATAAAACTATACCTACATAATATAGTATAATACACTATAATAATATAATCTCGTGATTCAATCGTTTCGTTTCARACTGCGCTACGGTTCGATGTCAAAACACTAAAAACTGCGTGATTATACGAGCTGCTGCTKCTGCTACATCATATTACTACATCATAACTTGAGGTAGGATAAGGCGATTGAATATAATATTATAATTTATAATATATAGTGTAGGTATACACATAAAATATATATTCTGTGGGTGGGAAAGTACAAAAGTCCAACAGACCTATCCCCAGGGGCCAAGACTCGCGAACGAGAAAAAAAGCCAGTATACGTATACTTCTATTAATAGTAATTTACATGCCTAAACATTATTCGTAATGACATCATACCATGGTATGGTACTGTATTTTTTAATTATCTATACATTTTATATTAAATTATGGACAATTATACATATATTGATATGTATTATACTTTTGTTTTCTTTAAGTAGCTTTCCAAATCACTTTTTTTTTTATTGACTTCTTTTACTACACAATATATTGTACCTATAACTGGTATATACTATACATTTTTATACAAAACAAACGGAATATTATAATATTAATGTTTTGGTTATAGACCAAATCGATCTCGTCACGCATGGTTCATAACAATAATAAATAAATAAATAAACACCTATATTTTATATTTCAGTAATTTGGTAATTTTTTGTGTGCTGTACTATGTGCAAATACTATATGAAATTTATGGGATTGCAATTATAACTATAACTGTATATATGAATATAATATATAATAATATACCACGGACGGTATACCTATCGTTTATTGCGGTATAGGTTATAGTGTTATATATAATGTTTATTTAGTATGAATTCCAGTTACTACAGCTGCACTTGACTATAAAACTATATGCACATAATATACTAGGTATTAGATGCCGTTTTAAATCTTAAGTCAAACGTAGAAATACTTTTCCGGTTTTCTAAAAAATGCCGCATAATCCGTTGATATTTTCAATATTTTTACCATGGGTATTGTATCTACCTATATAATTAAAAGATCTATCATATACACATATTAATAAAATATAAGAATATACCTATACAAGAAAAACGTGCCTAGTCGACGGTATAAATATGTACATACGTGTGTGCGTGTCATATTATGCTGATGATGCGGGGAGATCAATTAAATATTTGTCTTCGATTTTTCGTTTTTATTGGCAAGGCTCGGCGCATGGAAAAAGAATATTATATATATATATGCCTCATCATCCTGCAGACCGTGAAATATGTGCGTGCGTGGTGTGTCGGGACTTGATGTGCGTACACAAAGAGATGAGCAACGTAATCATATATACGCGCCGTACAATATAATATTATGTGTATTGTGTATATATAATATTATGTTGTGGAACGCGCCGCAGCACATCTTTATAAATTATAATATATATATATATACATATATAAACGTTAAACGTATTATAATATGATGTATGTATTATATTATTATTAGCATAGAGCGTGGCGTTGATGTGCTGTTACTGCAATGTGCTCCGCGGTATATACGAATATACGCCTATTTTATATTATACATCATCTGAGGGTTTGGCGAGACATCAACGAAACTCCCCTGCGTGTATGTTCGACAATATTTGCCGACGACGTAGAAAATTGCGAATTTGCCATACAATATAATAATTATTATATCGTCCCGCCTATAATATACAGCTCGGAATTTTATTTAGGACATAATATCATATATATTATGTACATGTATATATATGTAATAGTGTAATAGTGTATATAACATCTATTATTATAATGTATACATTATAAACGCGTTCGGAATCGGTTAGTCATCGGTTTTGTATTTTCGAGTTAATATACCTAATTGAAAAAAAGGAAGAAAAAACTTTAATGCCACAGCGTTAAGACTGATCGTGTATACCTCAGGMTACATCGAAGCCTTACACGCATCGTCACCATCTACGTGTATAATACACAAACAATATTATACACTTTTATAACGCATATTGGCTTTTACTGGTGCACATACCACATCATATCATATTAAATGTATATATATATATATATATATATATATACATACATAAGTGTACATTGTATAATAGTCCATTTGGAGCTGGCAGACAATTTCATATATATATATATATATATATATACATATGGACGCGGGAAATTGGACCGTTTCGCGATTACATGGCGAAACGTTTCGATAATCGTTTCGTCGCAAAACTGCAGAAGCCACAGTCACAGAGTTTGTTGTATAACATACCGTTGGCGATGCGATTTTATATATTGCGCGGGTGTATAGGTGTCTATATGTAATATATATATATGCGCGCGAGCCCAAGATCGCTGCACAAATATATATAAAGAGTGAAAGGGGAGAGAAAAAACAATTTTAGTCACGTAGTTAATTGTGAAAAAATAATAAATATATATACCAAGAGAAGGCGAAATTGCTTATCAAGAGGTGATGCAGAGGAGACTCCTCGTACATATAATACGTATAGTTTGCGCGCGCGCGAGATGAATAGAGTCGTGGTGTGTGTACGCATGAGGGGTAAGTTGCGGAGTGTATTATAATAATATATGTGTGTGGTAGTTTAAAAAGCATATATTATTATTATTATTATAGGCATATAAGATATGCGTGTGTGGATGTATACTGCACCAATCTGTGTCCCAAGTACCTATATATGTTATGTATAATATGTATATACACAATGTTTAATTCTGACGAGGTGAGCGTGTGTATATATTATAAAGACGCATCCCCATCCGGTGGGCGGTGGAGTGCAAGTAGAAAAAAAAACTGTAATATATAAAACATAATATATATGTATATTTAATGCTTCTATTTATTAGAATAGAAAACTCGTCGAGTTTTTATGGCGTCGTCGACGCGCTTTAGTACGAAACACATACGGATATCGTCGTCTCTCCTTCGCGATATAAATTCGCCCGAATACCGGGTACATAATAAAACACGAGCGTATGAATGAATAACATTAAATAATAACGAGAATTTAGCATGGGTAAAATGGAAACAATATTTTATGTGTATGTGTGTGTGTGTGTGTGTGTGTGTGTACCTATATATACACGTGAGTTAATAGTTTATACTTTTTTTTTTTGGTATAATATACTCATTTAACGCACTCGTTACGGTTTTTAATTAACATCAATACGTGTATATAATATTATTACGGCGTGTGTATTATGAATTATGATATTGTATRCAACTAGTTAAGTATTATATTGTCCAACTCAAATTGTGGTTAAAAATTCCTTTATACAAAAAGTACCTAATAACGTTGATGAATTGAATTTTTAACGTAACTCTCKATATTATATTGTATAATAATTAATAACTATAATATTGCTAAACTCATAAACTTGTTTGTTGTAGTAATATTTATAATTCTAATAAATAATAGACAGTCGTTAAGACTTAAAATAGATTACGTTATATTATTATCGTATAGGTACACATACGACGATGAGCTGTGGTGTCAATTCAAATAATATAATAATTAATCGATTTGATCGAATTTAAAATAAACTGTYAAAACGATCTTTTTAATAGTAATAATTCTTTTCTACATAGATAGTTATTTTTTACCTAAGACTGTCTACATACTTACTCATAGCATGTGCTTAATAATTAATACCATAAGCATAAGGCATAACAGATAAATCCACTGTATACAGTAATAATAATACATAGGCAACATAACAACATAGGTACCTAGACAGTAGACATCTATAGATGTATATATAAACATATATGTTCATATATATGTATGTATAATTGTATATATAAGCATATATGTTCATATATATGTATGTATATATGAACATATATGTTCAATTTAAACGTTTTCGGTAATTATTTACGTTTTAAATATTATTATGGGGCTTTAACACTTATATTGTCAAAGTCAATATATTATTTAAGTATTTGCTCTTTAAAATAAAGATAAGGATAGTATATATGTATGTTATGTACACTTGAAGCATACGTACATCCTACTCAGAAATGTTCATAAGTCATAACAATATCATCAGCCAGAAAAAAAGAAGCGTTATCGCATACAAACAAAATAATTAATTTTTAATGTCATTATACTATGATTGAACGCATGTAAATAATCTAAAATTTTGGCAATGTTTAAAATTTTTTAATTAAAGTACTTAATAAATTATATTAAAAACGAAAAAAATAATGGTAACACAATTTCAACCATTTTTATTTTCGGCGTAATACAAATAATATATTATAATATGCACACAAGTGTTATTTGACGGTTCTTTATCTATAATAGTAGTAATAACAGAACGAAATTATTAGTGTTTTTATACTTGTAATTTTAATTGATGAACGTTATTGATATAATATGTTATACTAATGGMAAATAACACATTATAAACATTATAATATATTGGTAGGTGTAGTGGTTATACCTACCGAGTATGTTATATATAATTATGTAAATTACTAAATTACAGTATATATTGGCTTAAAATAAATACACGTAACTGACCAGTTACTGATCGTAATATACTGATCATTATATAAATATATAAATATATGTATATATAATATTATATAGTGCAATAGTGCATCATAATATAATAATATATTGACAGTGCCACATAGGTGTTTGTTATCTGCACACCACCTATCCAACTATCTATATAGTTGTACCTATAGCTGCTTCACGAGGGTCACAACGAAACCTTACCAAGTTAAATAAACACCGCCGACGAAAGGATTATAATAATACGTAAAATGTGCTAAGAAATAACATATTATTATTATTATTTGTTTGATGGAAATCAAGGCGCATTTTATKTAATTATATTATAAATTAAAATATACGAATATAAATTTGAATTCCTCGTCAGAATATTTGAATCTGAATACAAAATTATTCACGCATGCAAATATAACATATATTTATAAATTATTATAGGTACCTACCTATATTATATACGAATTAGAAGCCAAACCTTAGTCATCTGCATTTCCAAACATAATATTTAAATTGTGGTTCTGAATGTACTATCGAACTGACGTRTATTTAAATAACAGCGTATTGCAAAACTTGAAATTCACTTAAAATAATAATGTACTTATTCGAGTTTAATCGATATACAGAATAATATTATAGTACACCACAGAATACATGCATCATACACCATTATAGTGCATCGTTTTAATTGGTACTGATTTCAGCGCTACTATTGTCGAAATTATAAATATTGACCTTTATATAGGTTACCAGTTACAATAATAATAATAATTATAAATCCGAAAAAATCTACAAGCGAATATACATATATATGATGTATGTGGAGATAGTTATATCGGCAGCTCTTTCGGTTAATAATAATATATAATATGTATGTATATAATATATAATACGTAACCTTCGCGAGTGTATTATTGTGTTCTTTTGATTAATTTGCACATCGCAAATAAATCACTTTAACGATAAAATGAATTTGTTTGGCGAAATAGGTTTCTTATCAGTACCGAACCTTACTCATGGCATGCGTACATACATACATATTATATTATATAATAAACCTTTTTAAATGCTTAATATAATACATGCATAATATTAAAATATACGTTATTAACTATTACAGTCAATATACCTAGGGTAAATAATAGTATAATAAATGCACGCGCATAAACTGCATAATATGTAATATAGACCTATGTTTTTCAGTCCAGACGTTATGAGTAGAATTGATATTTCTAAATTTCTTGCAATATTGTATGCACTCCAATGCAGTATATTAGTAAATATGAACGCTCACATGTATAATAATAATAATAATAATAACAATAAAAAGGCATAGGTACCTACATACTAATATTGTGCGCCGAGGTTTTTGACGGTGCAGCTAATTGTTGCGTTGAAAAGTTGCATAGTAAATAGTTATTGTGGCTGTTGGCCTAGTGTTACTACTACTRCTGTTATGATTAYTACAATTAATATTATATTATTTTAACAGGCGGGATTTGCGGGTATTGTATAAAAATGATATTAATTGTRACCTCGCRCGTGAAAAATTCCGGCATTATCCTATATATACACATGCCTGACGTCATTTCACATGAAACACGATATTTTATATTACACCCGATGAAATATTCGAAAGCGATAAAATAAAAACCATAATAAAAGCGTCTCACGATACAGACACGGTACACGCCGATACACCACACACACACACACACACATATACACACTCATGAACGCATAATATTGTATTAATACGTTAAATACGTAATCGTATAAACAATACTTAATTTACCGCTCTATCTGATTGATTCCTGTATTATAGATACCTATTTTTTATTATTTTAGTCGATTGAGATCGTACAGACGTCCAGCACTATAGTTGTCGGGCCTGGAGTGAAATAGTCTATTTAGAAGTACAACACGTGAGACATATTATAGTATGCGATTTGAGAACTTGTCATTTTTTTGTTGGTGTTGTCAAAGAGGTGGCCCATTTGAATTATAAGTTTTTTTTCTCAAAGAGTCGGTTGGCTTTGAGGCTTRTCGCGAGCAGACTATACCAAGTACCTATTACCGCTATTCTGACGGTAATTATTTGTATTTGATTTATAGTAATAATATTTATAACAATAAACTGAACAATAATATATATTATGTTGGTGAAATGTTGTATTGTTATTCGTTTATTAAATTAACATGAAATAAAAGAAAAACTGTATGAAATGACAAAAAATTGTTTTAACATTTTAGGTGCAACAGTTAATAGAAACCCATATACGGTTATTAATTTGGAAGTTAACGAAAACTTGGAACGTATGGAGTAAATTTGGGTGAGAATATGTTGCAAATTGCAATAAATTACGGCTAATGATGATTTAAAGGATTATTGAAAAAAATTAAAACTAAATGCAGCGTAGATAGTGACGATAAAAAGATTGCTTAAATGATCAAGAACTTAAGGACTGTAAAAAATGTTAGGTTATAGAGTACCTGGTTCAAACGGAAGTTCTAATAAAAAAAATAAAATGAAGAATATTTTCGGTCTATGTGAATATTTTTTTTATTTTATTTTTTTTATTTTTTATAGTTTATTTAAATATACACAATCTGTAAATGTTGTTTTATAATAAGTGCATGTGATGGAGGTGACATGGCTTGAGTGTCTGGAGATAAGAAGCCGCCCATTGGAGGCACTTAAGGTTAGGATTTTAATTTGCTAGTAAGAGAGGGCGGGATTACAAAATTAAGGKGAAGCAGGGGTATATACAATTTTAGATTAGTAAGTCACGACACCAGGTACGTTTTAGACGCCTTCTGAGGTCACCAGGAATAGCGTTGGTAGATAGCTCGGAAATCAGGGGATTACGATGGCTGTGGAACTTGGAGTGTGTGCGTTTGTAAAAAGTTTTTGCGACGTTTTGGACTGTTGGGATGGCTAGATCCTTATGTAGAGTTTCGTTAGATACATAGTAGGGAGCTTTAGTTATTTGACGGAGACATTTAGAATGGAAGATTTGAATTTTGTTTAAAGTTGGACTTTTTGGCTGCACCCCAGAGTTGGATACCGTATGTCCAGATCGGTTTGAKTAGGWGTTTGTATAATAGTAGCTTGTTTTTTAAGTTGATGTGTTGTGATGTGAGGAGAAAACGTAATTGGCGAGAGATGTGAATATTTAAAAAATAAACAGAGATTTATATATATATAAAAAAAAAAATAGAGCATTATTTAATCATAGAAAAACTCCATTAAATTATCCTCATTTATAATTTATTGATACTTCCAAAAAAATCTATACTAAATAAATATAATTGCCACGAAAAATTAATTTGTAATAGTAAATAAATAAAAAATTACTTTTACTGTGGATGTACTATATTTATTGGTATTATTTAATTAATTAAATATATTGAATTTATATAATATTTTATGTATGTGTTCTATCATTATATATTATATAATATCTATCTAGTATATCATTTGTTTCAATTAATAACTCTCAAATGTATTTATAGGACATCAATCGATTAGTAATATCCAAATTTTTCAAAAAGCCTTAAGGTTCTACGTATATATTTTTTTTTTTGAAATAGGCCTGCATAGATTAGAACAATTCTTTAAGAAGAAATTTGAAAATTAAAATGAACTTCAAAAGAGTCTAGGCATTCTTTTAAGACCTTTTAATCCCCAATCAGCCTACTATACATAAAATATTATTTATAGGTATAAGTATTACTGCTTATAGGTTTAATAAATAGGTTGTTGTGTGTCATCGTGGTATTACACCTTCCACATATTATCGTTTTATTTTGTGTGTATACGCACTCATTACGACACACAAAACGATTAAAACATTCTATATTGTACCTTATACCCGTTATCTGCATCAGTTTTTGTTATACGATCGTRGAGCGTGTTAAAAATTAATTTGGAAACGATCGCGTAGTGTTATATAGAACGAAAATTCTGCATGTGTGTCTACTATATACGCTTATAGGCTRTAATACCTATAAATGTTTATTACTATAATATGATTCCAACGTAGATATACCTATCGCAAAAAAAACACACACACAATTAATAATAATAATATGGTCGTGCCGGATGTAATCGCAATAAGATAACAATATAAATTATTACTCATAAAGCATCGGTAGCTGTGCACATCATCATAGACGAATAAAGGCATGGCCGAGTCTGAAAGTATATTATGTTGTAGAGATAGAGAAGTCTAAAGACAAAATAGTTGTATAAAAAGATAGCACGTACAACTTGGTCCTTCTTTACCCATTAATAATTATACGATGTGTCGATGATGATGAGTGATGGGGGAAGAGAAGTTTAACAACGAAGATAACAAATGTTTAGAAAAATAAACATACTGCACTCAGGGTCCTATATCAAAATATATTATATTGTTTATTTGTATATATAATGTACACGAAGGTTTTGGCTATCTATTTCTAACAACGTTGCCCACTATGATAATATACAATAGGCTATCCATATGGCAGCAGCTGGGGACACGCCGTCCGTGAATTATTAAAATTGCTAGGCGGTACACCGGAACTCGAAAGTGTTAAGTATAATAATATAAGTATAGGTAGGTATACTACGAGTTATATTATGTATATTTTTTTTTTTTTTTGCAAACGCACCACTACAAGCGAAAACGATACACTATTGTTATAAACATGTACACTGGTTGTTGTTTATTTTTTCGGCGCGAGAATAATCGTACGCAAATCGCGATAGTGCTATTATAATACTTTAACAGTATAATAATGTAAAAATAATATTATTTTAATTTTGATATATTATTATGTACCTGCTAATCGCAGGCGCCAAATGTAGGCAAAATTCGTGTTCAACTTWACGACCGGCACCGGYGATTATTCGATATAAATGGAATAGTTATTGACCGTCAGCGTATAACACGGGTGACGGAACAATACTTGAACAAAAAAGCTTGTATTCGACAATAACATAAGGTGCGTGTAACAATGATAGTGCATAATATATTTTTATTGTGCGCCGAATAAAAATCTCGAATCCAACGATATTTAAAACAAATATTTGTCGTGTAGCACGCGTACACTGCGGTTTTGTCGCATAATAGCCCAAATGTTTTTTTTTTTCAGAATTGAAATCCGATTACACTGTAACTACTATAATATAGATTTTTAGAACCGTTTAGGTCTATTTCGTTTTAACTAATTATCGGCTGTAATTGTATAGAGATAGTGTCCAATTCAATCACACACACGCATATTATATAGGTATTAATGTATAAATGTATGCGTTTGTGTGCACGCATGTGTATGTGTGTATATACAAACAGWTTAGAACAGAGATTGTGTGTGTCTTGTTAAAATATAGCTTAAATATATGTATATAAATAACAATAATTAGAAAAAAAAAATACTTTTATGCCATTGACATACTTATAAGTGTTAATAACGTAGAGGGTTTTTCACAATATTATTTACTAATATATTAGGATTTTAATGATTAGGATGGATTAAAAAAATAGACATCAATGCAGTCTGTCTATTTCAATAAAACAAACCTTTACAAACATTTTGTTATTCTCAACAATCAATGTG